TTTTGTCTGAAAAAAACAACTTATTAACGTCCGCTTAGAAAATATTCTGTGTGATCTCGATTACTTTAAAGGTAGGCTTATCATCTTGGGATAGCTCATAAAACAGAAAATAGTAATATTAATTGGTCAAAAGTTACAAAAAACCAATAATATCGCGAAATAGTTCTATGGGTCAAATAGTTGCAAAATTCTTAATTGAAAGTGAAAATTTTGGTATTATTATATTTTGACAGACTGTTTCAAAGCAAAGGTGAATAACTTTAGCGGGTGATTCCTGATTGGAACTAAAAGGTAAAAGTGTGATATAAAACGCAATATGTATGGCAAGTCAACCATTAGGAGGAGATTGTCGCGTTGAGATTTAAATATTATATATTGAAATACTTCGAACTTTACCACTTTACACAAAATAAGTAGAGGAAAAAGATTTCTATATGATCCAAGTTATCCTAGGCAGTTTTTTCTAATGTGTTCTAATGGATTTTAAAAAACTCAGTTATGAAAAATGTAAGGAGTACCTAATCTATTTCGACACTTATATAAAAAAGTGAAAAGTGTGCCACTTCACAATTTCAAAACAACGTTTTATAAAGAAATCTCTCTAATAAGAGGAAAAAAATTGTATCATTTCAGCGGTTTTCCTGTGGGTGAAGCACATCCATCCATCCATGGGCGTGTAATAGATAAAGATTTTTTGATGCATTCACCCGCTTGATAATTTGATTTTTACGATTTTTCAATCTGGTTTTTCTACTCAATGTGACATATTAAAATTTGCTTATTAGCTGATCGTATACACCGTTTTTGTGCTTTCAAATGGTTGCGATTCAACACTGTGAATTAAAGTCTTTGGACTAAACAAATTGGAGCACATCATGTACGCTTTCAAACAGCATTGAATAGGTAAACTGCGTAAAGTGGCAATTGGAAAATATTTAGTATAAACACATAGTAAAATGTGAATTGTATTCTAGATATTGGGAGCACTAAATGGCCGAATTCGTTTTTTAAGAGCCCGAGAAAAGAAGATGATTGAAACTGGGGCAGGAGACTCGAGATTCCGTCCAATCCACTAAACTATTAGTTGATCAAAAATGTCCATATCGATCAAACGTCCCATATTAATTCACGATAATGATTGTATTCTCAGTAGGTAGTAGAAATATATTTTTGACTACATAATTCTACTTGAATTACCTGGCATTCGAAATGGCTAATAACAACATGATTTTGCTGTTTACTAAGTAATGTGACATATTTTTCTTATAGCCTGAACTTAGTTTCCAGCAATAACAATGTGCTTCCAGCGTTCAAGCGCTTACAGCTTCTGATCACGTGCATTTGAATACCAATATATAGCAATCAATCGAACAACTGACTAAATCGATTCAGTTTTAGCGGTTTTTGCATGATGACGGCGGCCAAAACGACTTTGGTGCTCATGTCATTTTTTTCGCTTTCGGACTTTTACTTCACTAATTCCTGAAGATGTGCAAGTAACCACACAGAGAATAAAGCGACCGGACACAGATTTTACACTTTTGTGAAGCATTATTCCCGTCGAGTTTTATCCCAATCCCAACAAGTTTTTTGTGGTTTTTTTCAAATCACTACATGTGTGTGAGTATAACGATGATTTTTGAAAGCCTCCAAGCATTTTTGTAGCGGAGAAATTTTTACCAGTTTTTAATGTTTTAATAGAATAGTGTTATTACACTCTCTATTTCATATTTTTCTTGACTTTTTGCTAAACGCGGTACTACAGAAAAAAGGAGTGAGTATTTTTTCTTGTTGTGTGCTAGTAGTGACGTTAGACATTTTGTAGATTTTTGTGCTTTTTTGATACGCTATATTTTGAGAGGTAATTGTTTTTTAAGAGTTTTTGAATCCCTTTTTGAAGCAAGCGCCCCAGGATTTTTTTATTCTTACTATATTCATAGCGCTAATATAGTAAATCTCCCATACTTTTACCCCCACATTTTTGCCAAATCTCTACTGGAAGAGGTAACTATACCTGCCTATTTCTGTGTGTTGGTATTCAAATGTAAAAAAGGATGTTAAACAACCAAAACAAAGAGTTTTACATGAAAAACGTGTGATGTGCCAGCATGTAAACAAAAGAAATTCAAACACTTTTTGATATTCGAAAAATGATCACGAATCTTATTGGTATTTACGTTTTCACAGTGCCAGGCAACCCTGAAGATGTTAAGGTCACTCCAATTAATTCCACTACGATTAAAGTGAATTGGAAACCACCAAAGACCAATGATCGAAACGGCATTATTTTGGGATATCATGTTCATGTACAGGAAGTCAAAGAAGAGGTTAGTTCAGTGATCATTACACAGGTTTTTAAATTAAAAGATCATAAATATTCGTTCGGCTTGGGCTTGGGTTTCTAATAATTTCCTAATCGCTCATAGAAATGCCACTAGTGTTACCAAATAAATATTTTAGTGCTTTTAAGTATAGCTAATTGAGCGAACTAAGTTATTAAAACACTTTCAAACTTGATCGATTGATCTACTTAAAGTTTCAATATTTAATGTTTATTAGATTTTAACTGGCCTTCACTTAAGCCAGGGTAAACTTTCTATAAATCAAGCTGTTATTATGTTGAAATCGCAAAAACCTCACGTTTGATAACGTATGGAACTTTAACACACTCGGAATGCAAAGTTTATAAGAGTGTATAAATTGTATTAGTTTTCACGACAACTTATTAATCAGCTTAAAAGGTCCAGATTTCGACGCGAAGCAATGGTTTATGCCGGGGAATAAAAATTTTTAAATTGCAAAAACATATATTTTTTAAATCGTAAACAGCATAATAAACAAACGTACAATTTAAAAATTATTTAATTTAAAAAAAATGTATTGTACAATTTATCAGGCAAATGTGCGAAATATATTGAAATCTATTTCTCAATTTAGAGTAAAAGTTTTCTGAACGAACCGATGCAGTTCAACGTGCTCGGAGGTGATACGTTGGAGTTAAACATTTCGAGTTTGCAACCTGATACGACTTATGCTGTCCAAGTAGCAGCCTTAACTAGAAAAGGTGATGGGGATCGAAGTGCTCCCGTAGATGTTCGAACTCCTGGTGGCGTCCCAAATCGTCCAGGTTTAAGTTTAAAGTAAGTAGTTGAGATATTGAGGATGCCTAGTCAATTCTTTATCAAAACTATAAGTTCAATTATTTATATTGGATTCACCAGTTAATTCATTTCTCTTATCCAAATCGAAGATTCTGAAAGGTTTATAATTATCAGTAACAATTTTTTTTCGCTTTTAAGGTACATTAGCTTATTTTCATCAGTCCATAGAGTCGCGATTGCGATATCTTCATATTTTCTTTCTGTGCATTCTGTTTCCGCCTACTGATCTGCATTGTAATGAATAATACAGTACTTTGAACAATTCGTTAAACTTCTTTATCGGCTATTATTATTCATTTAATTTAAAGGCAACAAATGAATTATAATTTGATATACACCATTACTTCAGAATCACTGAAAGAGATCCAGCCGTTACTTTCGATCTGGAATGGTCCAGACCTTCACAAACTTATGGTGAACTAAAAGGTTACCGCCTAAGGTATGGAGTTAAAGATCAGCCGCTGAAAGAAGTGCCACTCAAAGGTAAATATAGTGAGGGATAAAAGTGTTAGAATGGTATATAATCCCAGCCAGCACTTAAAATGATAAACACGCAAGGAGACGTCGAAGTCACCAATTTTGTCACGTTAAATATGACCAGCACAACCGCATCATACGATTAAAGTAATAAATCATGAGATATCCAGTGTGATTCAAAATTTGAATCACCCCGTATGTGATATAAACGTTTCAAAAAGCCCATATTTATTAGCATACATTGCACAATAGTCTTTTGCAGAAGTAACGATAAGTTTACAGTAAAAAACAGGTTAGTAAAAATAGAAAAAATCAAATACATAATTATAAATATTGAACTGAAAATGTAATTTTCAAAAGCCAAATTTAATTCCGCTTATAGGATTTGGCGTTGCCGAAGGCTTACCAGAAAAAGAAAGCAATAGGCATTTTGTAATCAATGTAGAATTTGTGAAATGTAATCGCGCCGTGGCTTCATTCGATACTGCGAATATAATTTCGTAGAAATAACAAAATAAAACAAATACATAAAAATGATGGAGAAACAAATCGCAAAAAAACTATAATGAATCATTTTAAGTGCCTATATTGGATGTTCTAAAATCTGGTTTTTTAATTTGGAGAATGGGAGCCTGGTTTTAATATTTAATGGAATTTTAATGTTTGATGGAATGTTGAATGGAATTATGTTTTTTTTTTTAATATTAGTTTCTATACACTCTCGCTGTATATTAAATATTTAACTTGCAATATTTGCTCTTTTGTAACATTGACACGTAATTCAATACCAGAAATAATAAAGTAATGAGGATCTGAAGTCAGTGTGCTGGTTGAGATTATTCAGCGATCTTATATGATAGTCATTATTAGTAACTGAGTGTTTACAGTAAAGGGTGTCCCAACGATAGTGTAAAGTAAGTTTACGCTTAACCGGTATTATTTGTTGAAGAATTATCAACGCCATATTATAACATTACTAAGCGCGCATATTTTAAAAATATTTGCAATTAACTTTTTTTCTAATAGAACACCCTATATTTTATGTATTTTTGCATTCTGATGTAAATTTAAAACACTTTTCGTTATATAAAATATGAACGAAAATTTGGATAGTTTTTGAGTTATGCGGCTTTAATGATGAAAATTCGTATTTTGATGGTGTTGATATAGCAAGTGGCAGGAGAAAAATTAATTCTTACTATTTGAATAATTGGTTTGCAAAACAGTTGTTTTTGAATCTGCAAAGCGGTCTTAATAATCGTACAAATTAACGTATTTTCAAGCTCAAAAATTTCACTTATTTTAAATGGCGCACACGGTATATTGTTAGTCTTATTTATTCAGGTTAAGAAAACCTTTCATTTTGGCTAAATACTTCCTATTACTATTTTCGAGAATTTTTTTCTCTAAGTGGCTCCGTGATATTTGGTAGGTTCTACAACATTGAAAAAATATTAGAAAGAAGTATTTAGACAGCCAGCCAGCCATTGATTTAATGGAAGGTTTTACTACCCTGAATAAATTACACTAACAACATACAATTGATGTGATTTTTTACCTTGAAAATACTTTAATTATGACGCCAACGCATTTGAAAGATGAAGTATTTCGGGAACCAAATATTAATATAGAATTAGCGTTTTCTCCTGGCGAATTCCAAAATTTTGTGTCTAAACACAACAGAGAAATGTTTGCTTTATCAACACCATGAGAATGTGAATCTTCATCGTTAAAGTCGAATAACGAAAAAAAACTGTTCAATTTACTTTCATATTTTTTATAACAAAAAGTAAGTGAAATTTGCATAAGAAATAAAAAAATAAACGAAAATATTGGGTGTTCCATATGTACAAGGGCGGATCCAGAGGGGGGTCATGGGGGTCCTGACTCCCCCATTCAAATCTCTATCCAACGATGCCAAAATGAATTCTGTGGCTCGGATGGTTCTTGAGAAACTTCGAAAAAAGCAGCGTCATGTTCAAGTGGGTTTTGCAACTCAAAAAAAAACACGCAAATCTAAAACTTCTTGAATTCGAGCATTTTTTGAGAAAACTGCCAATAATTCCCCATCCATGGTTCACTTTCTAAAAGGGCCATTTATTTCTGCCTAGAATGATGTACAAATGAGCGTTCTTGCCCATTTTGCCTCCGAGAAATGAGCAAAAACGGGACGGAAAACATGAAATTTTGGCATAATCTTGCACCTAAGTGTCTGATATTCAAATTTCAC